TTTTGTGTTGCTTGTTTATCTACTTTATATTTCATTTGTATTTTTGTGGCATTCATGTGGACAGCAAAGTAAGAATTTCATTGTACAGGGAAACACGTTTCCTAACTGTGCATATGACAAATAAACACTTTCACTTTGACTTACTGTATATCTGGATTAAGGCACCATACTTTAACCGGAAGTTGCTACGACATCATGGTGCTACAGCGATGGCTTGTACATGAAGGGCAGTTCTGTGACTCTCACCTGATGGTTGTGTTTTGGCAGGTAGTAAGTAATAATTAAAAGTAACCTTAATATATATAGTTTCGATATATTTAAATCTTGTTCATGTCATTGATGATCAGGACCTCATTTGAGACCTGCTGCAGGAAAAATTGAGACCTCCATTCAGATAAAAAGCTTGCTAAGTGCTCGCTAACACCTACTCTTCCTGCAGCTGGATCACAGTACAGTAACTTTTAATGGGCCAGAATTCAAACCTTGTTGTTAGCATCCCCCTGTTTATTTAGCTTAGGTTAGAGGCTCAGTATTATCGCAATTTTTGTCAATGCTTGGGAGTAGAAATTTAGCTAATCCCAAAATATCTTTCAGATAGTTATGTCATTAAATTAGTGTAAAACTGATCTGCCACAAGGCCCGTGTTACTCTAAAACACAGGCGTACAAATACCCATAGTCATTCACAGATGTGTCAAAGAATACCTTGTGAATAATCTGAAAACAGTATGTATTGAATCTGATATTTTAAAAAGTTCTGTAGTTCTTATTAAAATGTAACTTTGTCAATGTATGGTTGGGTGAAAATCCCTGAGTATCCCTTGTTACAGCACAGACATGAAAACTCATGACATTTAGAATTTGAGTTAAAAACTGATTCTTCTACTGTATCCTGTTGAATCAGTGGTTGGAAATACAAACAGCACCTCTCTATCACTGTTATTAAGTATTACATCCCATTTGAAAATAACTATTCATGATGGTGTTACGATGTCATCCTTCTTTAAATATTTTCTCATAAAATATACATTCAATTCAATTAAATTTTATTTGTATAGCACCAAATCACAACAAAATTCATCTCAAGACACTTTACAAAGTAAGGTAAAGACCTTATTATTATTATTATCATCATCGAGGAAAAACCCAACAAATCCTCCTTGAGCAGCACTTGGCGACAGTGGGGAGGAAAATAAAAGGGGGAGGAGATGAGAGAGGGGAGGAGAGGAGCTCTGCATCATTAGACGACCCTCAGCCTAGGCCTATAACTAAAGGATGGTCCAGCAAACCAAACTTATCCTAGAATACATGTCCAATAATTTCATAGACACCACTACATGGGTGCAAGAAAAGGCCGTCCTGTTGACTAGAAACCACTGGTATGGTTAAATATCCTCAGTGGCAACAGGACAGCCCAGGCCCCCAGTTTGCTTACAGTTACCAAGATGGCTGTCAGTCTTATCCCTGTTCAGCCACATTAGTTGTTCTGATGCCATAAAATATCAGAAGACATAACACAACATACTACGTACCTTTCTACCCTCCCTCACTGTCCTACTAGGATTATGTTGAAAAAAACTTATATTAACCTAACTATAAGCTTTATCAAAAAGGAAAGTCTTAAGTCTTAAAGGTAGAGAGGGTGTCTGCCTCCTGAATTGAGACTGGGAGTTGGTTCCATAGTAGAGGAGCTTGATAGCTAAAGGCTCTGCCTCCCATTCTACTTCTGTTGATTCTATGAACCACAAGTAAACCTGCACTCTGAGAACAAAGTGCTCTGGTAGGATGATAAGGCTCTACAAGGTACGATGGATGTCGTTAAGGACTTTGTATGTTAGGAAAAGGATTTTAAATTCTATTTTGAATTTTATAGGGAGCCAGTGGAGAGATGCTAATATGGGGGAGATATGATCTCTCTTGCTAGTTCCTGTCAGTACTCTGGCTGCAGCATTTTGGATTAACTGGAGGCTTTTTAGGGAATTATTAGGACATCCTGATAGTAAAGAGTTACAGTAGTCCAGCCTGAAAGTAACAAATGCATGGACCAGTTTTTCAGCATCACTTTGAGACAGGATGCTCCTGATTTTTGCAATATTACACAGGTGAAAGAAGGCAGATCTAGAGACTTGGTTTATGTGTGATTTAAAGGACATATTCTGATCAAAGATGACTCCAAGGTTCCTCACAGTAGTACTGGAGGCAAGAGCTACAGTGCCTTGCGAAAGTATTCGGCCCCCTGGAACTTTGCGACCTTTTGCCACATTTCAGGCTTCAAACATAAAGATATAAAACTGTAATTTTTTGTGAAGAATCAACAACAAGTGGGACACAATCATGAAGTGGAACGAAATTTATTGGATATTTCAAACTTTTTTAACAAATAAAAAACTGAAAAATTGGGCGTGCAAAATTATTCAGCCCCCTTAAGTTAATACTTTGTAGC